TATATATGCATATATGCATATATATGTATTTTTATGCATATATATCTATATGTCTTGGAGGTCTGTTAGAGAAATCAGAAGTGTGAATACAGAAATTTTCTGTATGACACCTAGATAATGAAAAAATTCTAACTATTTCTTTGCAATAATTTTTCAAAACTTAACTATCTTTGTTTTGCAATTATAGTACAGGACAAATGAGTGGTGCTTCAGCCGCTACGTGAATCCAGAAGGATTACCTAGATGGTCAAAATCTTTTGAATAGAAGTGCCAATAAATTAAAAGTTAAGACAAGAAGAAAAATGGAGAGGTCTAACAGAGAATATCATTAATGTGATTCTGTAGTGTTATAAAATGGGCAGTGATTGTGAGAACTTACATTGGCAATCACTATTCTCTGTCTCTGTCTCTGTCTTTCTCTCTCTTGCTGTCTCTTTCTCTTCTGAGCCTAGAGCTTGAATACAGCCTTTGAATTGAGCTACTTTCCCAACACTTTTTTTAAGTTTTAATTTTGAGAAGGAATCTTACTAAGTTACTAAGGTCTCCAGGTTGAACTGGAAACCACAATCCTCCATCCTTATACCTTACCCTCTAAAGTATCCACTAGAACACCTGGCATAAATTTATTTTCAATCTAAAGAAAGGAAACTAAAAACTTTGCTGTATGCTCAAGCTGAAACACTGACATAAGCAAAATCATGCAGATTATTCTATTCTTATGTACTGAGAGTAAATCTCAAGCCTAATAAATATTAAAAGACAATAGTAAACAGCAAAGGCTGAGAATAAAAACTAGAACTCATGCTTATCATATTGAATGCCTTTAATACTTATAGCATTGTGCATAACTTCAATGATTCTAGACACTATCATTTCTTGCAAAATAAATTTTAAAATATTTAAATACTTTCAATCATAGTTACTTAAATTTCCCAACAAATAAGCATCTTATATTCACATACATGATCCAATAGTGGGAGATAAAATTGACACAAATTGTAAATATTCTTAGTCAAAAGTAAATATTTTCTATTACTCTTCTTACAATGTTACAACAGAGGCTAATTTGATATTCTGGAGCTAGAGTTAACAAGAATTGTGAAGTAACATATTCATTTAAATATCGACCAATTCTTTCTTTGGAATTATTTTGTCATTTTGTCCTTCGAATATTTTAAATATTCATGTTCAAAAATGGAATGAGCAGTAGGACTATCAGATAATCAAATTACCATCTTATCAAGGCTAATGATAGGACTGTCTCTTTCATGAATTATCAGTGATTTATTTCACACAGTCACAAAAAATTCAAATGCATTTCTGTGGTAGCATTCCAGAACCAGATAAAATGTCAGATGGTTATTTAGAAAGGATTTATTTGAACACAGTTGAAAATTTTATGTACTGCATCAAATCTACATGACAATGACTTTGTTTCTACTTACCTTTTAAAATAAATTGCATCTTTTAAAACAAAAGGTAATCTGGTGTTTTTCATAATATTATCACTGTAAGAATATGCAGATCAAACCTATTCTATTTTATTAAATTAGCTCTTTTAAAATTAATATGCACATATCTATAATACAAAGAAAATATCCAATAACATATCAAGGAAATTTATTTTTATAGATCCTCCATCCATCTCAGACTGGTCTCAAGCTGGAAGATAACACTTAAACGCTTTCGAAAAACTTGCTAGCATATAGTTGTAATTATTAAGTATCTTCTATTATCAGTCCGTAGCTCTTTTCTAGTATTTCAAAACCTCACTTTACAACAAAGTTATATAAAATGATATGTGGGCTTGGCACAGTAGATTATTGTTTTTCAAGTTAAAAAATTAATACAGGAAGGATGGGAAATTTTTCTGCTAGAAATATAAAATTCAAAGTAAAAATAATTTCAGTCTCTTGTTTCCCTCATCCCATGTCATATATGCCTACTCTCCCATGCCTAGTCTCTCAGCTCCTTGGCGGATTATAGGCAGAATTTTTCTTCTAGGTATATTTTTTCCAGGTTGCATTTTTGAGGGCTCTGGAAGGAAAATAAAATATAGGTCCACATTTTAGTTTTAAAATGTTTCTCTTTTCACAGAATTGAAGTAGCTGTGCTTCTGTTTGTCTTGCTCTATTTTTCCATGCCCTGGGCTCTAATTTTCAAGCACCCCATGCCCTTCTAAGTCCCAGGGTTTATCTCCGGCTAAAGGCCTCCTCCTGCTGGTTGCCTCTTAGGTTGCAGCCAATCAGGTGTCCTGTGCCATTGCTGCTGCTGTGAACAGAGCATACAAACCTCTTCCTGCCCGGTCCCAGAGCTGATCTGTAGGTGTTAGAAAATGACACACTGTGACATTAGAACCCCCTTTCGCGTCACATTATGGTAAAGGTGTGGTGTTAATGCACGCTTCTTACTGCCTGCTAAAACTTGCTTACATAACATCATGAGTCACTCACTTTGAAGTTCTTACCCGCTCTTTCTCTTGTAGCTCTGTCCCTTGTAGCTCTCCTGACATTCTCCTATCCTTTCTGCCATCTCCTTCCCTGCTAACTTCGACCTGGCTGACACCAATGTGATTCCCTATGGGACTTCTGAAGATCTTGAATCATCTGTTGTCAACTTACCTAGAGGCAAACTGAATCTTTGTTACTATTTCTACAGTCTGTAAATAGGAGGTAGATTCACAACTTTGAGGTGTTCTATAGAGTCCTGGGAGCTGTGATTGGGTCAAACTCTGCCTTTAGGAATCTGTTCTAACTTTGAAGAGAGACTAATATGGAAACCTGCTTAACAATTTTACCTGTCTCATATTTGTGTCCAAAACCTCACCTAAAATGTCTCTTCTGGAGATCCTCGAATTCTGTGTATCTCTGGACCTGGGTCTCTGGCCTCAGGTGAATTTAGATTTTTTTTTTTTTTACCTGAAGTCAGGATGAAAACTCACAAATCATAATGATGCTGCTCTTGGTGACCACTGGAAACCACCTTATTTGCAAACTCCTGCCTCTGTCTATGGTTCTGTGAATTTCCCTTGAATAAATACCCTCTAGTGTGGGGCTTTTTGCATCATGACTCTGTCCCATTTTACTAATTAGGATATTCTTTAAGTTTATAGTCTAAACAGGACAGGCATATTCTAGTATAACTTACCAGGCTGTGATGGAAAGAGTACAATTTTATCATTTTTCTTTTAAATCAAAGAAATTCAACATCTCTTGTCTCCCTTGTATCTGGGAGAAGCACCTAGTAAATTTCCCGTGTCTTGGTGTCATGACTCCTTTGAGATTTATACAACATTTCTATTTTAGTAGGAGAAAATGAGGACAAGTGATGCAAATAAATATGTGAAACCGTGTATAGTAATTTCCATGATAAAATGTGTCATGCAACTATATTTTATAAAATATCCAAAGTATTATGTATACAGTTAAGCTTCTTTAAAATCAACATGAAAACAAAATGCATATGGTTCCTGTTGGCTATCAGCAGAATCAGCCTCAGAGGCTGGGATAGCCATCCTCTCACCCTGATGTGATCCCCAGCAAGGTGGAAGCCTTGCTTCTGTTTCTCAGTTCTAAGGAAAATTTCTAACCCCATGTCAGTGTTCAAGGCAAAACTGGACTTGATACATGAGACTGTTCTATTCAATCTTAAAATCTGAACACAGCAAAAACTAAAATCATGCAACTCCTTATTTATGAACATGTGAAGGAATATCGCCACTTACTTATAACTGGGTTTTTCAAAAACCCTAATGTACAGGAGACATAGAGTGAAAGTGTATAGCTTTTATGATGGTTACCCAAGGGTGTAGGAGAATGAAATGAAATAGAGGTGGGAAAAGAAAGGATGAAAGGTAGTGGAGCTGTGGACTAAGACAGACAAGACTGCCATTTGCTAAGCACCTCTTACTTTCTAGACGTTTTGTCCAGCTGGTAAGATACAAGATGCCATTCAAATTTCACAGGCGCCAGATGATGTAGGCACTATTAACCCATTTTATGGACTGGGTGAAGCAGAATATCGAATATCAAAGGCCTAGCAGGCCAAAATTGCTAGCTACTTTAAGCAAAATCGCCCATTGTGTGTGTGTGTGTGTGTGTGTGTGTGTGTGTGTGAAAATGACAGGGTGATTCTCAGAATTGTATGAACTGAAGATGCAAGCTCAAATTAGCAAGAGCCAGACAATATCAGTTTTCAGGGAACCAATAACTTTGAAAGGAAATTATTCTCAAAGGAATACAATAAGAAAAATAATAAAATGAAAATGGCAGAAAAGAAATACCATTTGTTATCAAATGAATTGTGTGTCCTCCATTTTTAATT